ATAGCAAAAATGTGTTTTTATTTTCATATTTTTTTCTCAGAACGTTGCAAAGAGTGCTTTACAGTATTCTAGCCAGTAAATTTAATGCCAGTTGAATTCTCATTCCTTGCTATATGACCTGAAATTTTTCCCTCTCACTAGACTTGAGAGATCTTTTGCTTTTGTTAAATATTACAGCTAGCTTAAACTGAGCATAAACTTAATTTATTAAAGTCCAGTATAGTATAATTAATGTCCATAAACATCCCTCAAACAAAGATAGTACTTTTGTCAAGTGGTTTTCAAATTTATAGAACTCTGTCTACTTTAAAAAAAAAAAAAAGAGAAAGAAAACAGTAACTGGAAGAAGAAGAAATAGAACAGATGATTTAACAGTGCCACCCTGTAGTACTTACACACATCGTTTCATGGAATACTTGCTTTGCTTTTATATGTGGTATGTTAAGAATGTTAAAAACCACTGCTATACTATGTGCTTTCTTACTGTCTGAATCAGTGACTAAAATTTTTCACATTAAAAATTATCATTAGCTGGAAACATAACTATAATCCTAGCATTGAAGGAAACTGAGGCTAGACGAAAAGTTTCAGTCAGCCTTGGGCAACTAGTGAGACCCTGTGTCAGAAAAACAGGCAGGGAGGTAGCTCAGTGGTAGAGCACCCCAGGGCTAAGTCCCTAGTATAAGAAAATTATCACTGTATTGTGATAAGATGGAAAATGTACTTGGGAAGAACTTTTCTGCTTATCTTTAATAATAAAAAAATTTCCATGTTCCAGATTTTATTAAATGTACTAAGGATATGGCTAATTTTGAAACAGAAGATTAGGGCATATTATGAAGCTGTTGCATGGTTAAAGACCCCGTTTGTTATTAAATGGAATGCTGGGCGTGGGCTGGTGTGGTTCATAGTTGAGATCTACCCTGAAAGACATGTTTTCACCCTCAACAAATATCATCTTTGTTCTGGTGTCTGCAGTGCATGTAACACAGCAAGGTCCTTTCTCACCCTTGGAAAAAGACAGAATGCGTCTCAGATTTTTTAAAAGATTTCCTGCTTATTCACAAAGAATTTAAAGTATAGCTAGCTGCTTTCCGCTTTTTTGGTTGTGATTAATTGGAGCATGTGTGAGGTACCACCTAAGAGTTGTGGTGTGCTCAGGAATTATAATAATGAAATCTTGGAGTAGGTAGGTTACTCTATGAGGACTGAAGCAGCTGTCATTTCCCAAAGCCAGACTGATTATCCAACAAAAGGTAAAGTAATTTTAAAATTTGGTATTCTATAAACTTAATACTGATCTGTCAAAATGTACAATAGGGCTGTGCATGGAGGCCCAAGCCTGTAATCCCAGTCTTCAGGAAGGCTGAGGCAGGAGGATCACTGCAAGTTTGAGGCCAGTCTTGACTACATAGCGAGACCCTGTCTCAAAACAAAACAGTATGCTAGGAAAAATGATCTGCCAATTTTGTTTTGTTGGATTGAATTTGATATTTAGTAATTTTGTATTAATTTGGGACTAATTTAGCAGCATTAACCAAACTTTAGATTAAAAAGTTTATTTTCTTTCATAAATTTGTTTCCAAAGATACTTTTTAGGAGCATAGAACTAACGTGTTGATGAAGGAAGAAAGCTGACATTTAAAGGAGTTGTACCACACTGTTTTCCACATAGCTTTTTAAAATTTTTTTAAATGTAGGTATTTGGTACAGGGTCTCGCTATGCAGCTCGGACTCATAGTGACCCTCCTGTTTTCAGCCTCACCAGCTGTGTGTGCTGCCATGCTTGGACTTCCATGGTTTTATTTTTGACAGCAATTTTTTATTCAGCTACAAGTATGTAACAACCATATTGTTAAACTTTAACCACCATAATATTTTGGCAACGTATAGTATTTATTTTAAACTACATTTTTTCAGATAAACTTTTAAATTACAGCTTTGTCACACAAGAGGGTTATAAAGATACAATGTAAATTATGCTGCAATGCCTTCATTAAACTATTTGATAAAAATTGATGGCATGAAATGAAAGTATCCAACACCACATATGTCATTGCTGTGTACATGCCTAGAACTTTGTGCATGTTTGCACACAGATATGGTATTGCTGCTGCTGTGTTTTAGGGTAAACTCTTGTTCTTTCTATGGAATTTTTAAATAAACAATCAGAATGCATCCAAAGGAATTAGTATAGTTCTTAATAAGCTTCTCATCTACAGATCAGACATAAGAACCCTGCATAAAGATACTTCTTGTCCTCTATAAATATTTGCCTCACAGTGTGGATTAATAAATAAATTTCATGTTAGGAAAGATTGGCATTTCTACATTGTCTGTTAAAAAAAAGCAGATTTGGTTATATTTCACAAAATATTTGGCTTTAAATCCAGTCTCCTTTTAGAGTACATTCATAAATATTGCAAAATTTCCTTCTCACGGGGAAGCATAAGGTTAAGAAATGTATAAGGAAATTTAAAGATTAAGAGTTCATTTATTGTTGATTAGAATCAACTGCTCTGCTGACGTTACACACCCTTTCTCTCCAAACATCAGGAAACAATTTTATCTAATTCCAGTAGACCCTTGCTATGTGGTGATGTTTTTCTTCCCGGAAGTCTCTAGCCTGACAGTGATCTGGGAGAATCTCCTGTAGAAGCTTTGCCATAGCTTTCTTCTGAGGCTCAGCACCTTCAGTTTCCAACTCCACATGGATTCCAGTTTTTGCCTTTATACTTCTGAACTTCTCATTGTTTTGTCTGAGATATGGATGACGCTCAGGACCACTGTTGGGGTGTGGAAGAGACTGGGACTAAATAAAACTTCATGAAAGGAATTGATGAAGGCTCCTACATATAAAACAGGGTGATGAAAAACAAATATGTATTTCAGATTTATGTTTACGTACTTCATTGTGAAAATCTGACCAGCTAGTTTGTATTTTTGTTAACCCATTCTGTTTACTTATTCTACAGAGGACAGTATTAACATTTTATACTCTGGAAAAAACACTTGGTAGCATTTCCTTCTCCCAGACTAAAAGATTTATCAATTTCCATTTTGCTCTTTTTACTATTATAAAAAATCTTGTCTTTTTTTTTTTTTTTTGCAGGGGAGTCACTATGTGGTCTAGTCTGACCTGGAACTCCCAGTGATCTTCCTGCCTCAGCTTATTTGTGGCTGATTATCTCATTAATATAAATCTCTAGAGATGGAATTACTGGGTAAAGGATGTGCTTTTTAAAAGATTTCTGATAACATATTTTTTAATTATGTAATTTCCAAAATTTGTACATTTGTGTTTATTCTCAATACAAGGAACTATAAATTTCCCCATGCTGTGATAAATGAATATTATTAGTACATTTTTTGTTTAGTGTAAGGTAGATGCAAATTAATGTTTTAAAATTTATGTTTTTTTAGTTACTAATGATGGATTTTCATGCCTTGGTTTTCTTAAATTTAGATTTAATTTTTACCAGAGCTATAATTAGCATAGAGATTCAGCTGTCTGTAATAGACTTTTGTAAACAGCTGACTGCCAGGCTCCTCACTGCCCTCTGGGAGAAGTTAAGCTCCCTCCACCATGCAAGCTGATTGGTTTTGTGTCTACTTCCAGAGGGACAGGAAGCATGCCTATCACCACTTCCTGTTCTTCAGTTTTAGCTGTTATCATTAGTTTCCTACTTTGGAGAGTGATGGTTTGATTCTCTAGGATGTATCTACTCTGCCACACATACTCCTTCAGCTCTTGGGGAGTTATGAATGAAAGAGAATCCTGTGAATGAGTTCCCTTGTTTAAACCCCACCCTAACTGGGGTGGGGTTCCTTGAGGACCACCATTTCCTGGGCCTTTGGAAGCCAGGACAGGTCTCACTAATTCCTAAATTGTTATTTTGGAAGAGTTTTAGAAGAAATGGATATAAAAGTATGTAACCTATCTGTTGTCTTTAACTAGAAGTCTTTCTGTAGCATGGTGATGCAAGCTATGGAATGTGGAGGACAGGGGAAGATTCCAATCCTACCTTTTCTTTTTACTAGCTTCGTGACCTTGAACAAATTGCTTAAAATCTCTAGGCCTTATCACTGGTGTGGGATTACTAAGAATAACTACTTTTGTGTAGTGTGAGAATTAAATGTGGTAAGGCATGGTATAGTGCTAGGCTGAGTATCTTATTGTTTGCCAGGCATCTTAGTTGTTGCTGCTGTTGTGAATTAGTCTTGTGAATTTCTCACTCATATCTTCACCCATCTTTTCATTAGAATGTTGTTCTCCTGACTAGAGATGCAGTTTATACAATCTGTCTTTGTTCTTTTTATTTATAGGACTTGGGATATATAATCATACCAATACCATTTCATGTTAGGGTCTCTGCTTTGGTTGTCAGTTTTGTTTCTGAACGATATTCCCATTAAAGAAGAAAGGTTCTATGCTTGTGTGTGCATGTGCCTGTTGTAAAACTAGAGACAGAGACCAGCTAGGAGGTCATTGTAACTGTTGAGGCAACTGGTGAAAGCACACGAAAGCCTAAACAGGCAGTTTTTCATTTTGCAATACAAAATATTTTATAGCTGCTGATATGCATCTTACATGAATTTATTTTGAAAAAATTATCATAATTCTTAAAAACCTTTTTCAGTGATTTTCTTACCTTCTACCCCACTGGCTATTATCTGAAAATTTAGAGTTTTCCATTTCAGTTCCCATGTCTATAAAATTTTAGATCCAGAACTAACTCTTAAGGTCTACATAAGATTTATTATGTCCTGAGTGTATGCTGTTTTATTAAATTTACTTTCTTTTAAATCATATAATTAAAATGTAGATATGTTGATATTCTGAAGTTGTAGTTACAGATTTTTAAGTCATCTTCTTAAATTTATAGAATTTTGCTGATTTTTTCATTTTAGGCAATATTTTTAAAAAATTGTCTTAGTTTGTAATTATTTAACTTTGTTGTTCATTGAATCACAGTTCACCTAATTTGATCTTTCCACAGATTCAGACCAGGATGTAGCACTCAAGCTTGCCAAAGAACGAGCTGAAATCGTTGCTAAATATGACAGAGTAAGTATCCATATTTACTCTGTAAATTTCTATGTAAGAAAACCATACAAATAGGGATTTGGGTTTTTTTTTGTAGAGCTAAAATTGCAGAAGCAGTTTGTTTACTTCATGGGAACATTAAGCTCATCTGTTTTCCTCTTACTTTACCTCCAAATTCTCTCCTTTCTGCCACTGTAGCGTCTTGCTATTCAACCTCCAGGTCTGCTCCTCATGGGTCCTTGCCCTGGCTGTCCACTCTGTTGGATATTCTGTGTATCCTGATGCCTGCATGCCTCGCCCTAGCAAGTCTTTGCTCACACGATACCTTCTGAGGGAGCACTTCTCTGACCTCCACATTGGTTACTCACTGTCTATATCCTGGCACTCTGTATCCCTTTGATTTTTCATCATAACATTTACTATATCATCATTCTATATATTTTAAATATTTTATTTGTTGTCTACTTTCCTAGAGGGTAATACTGTCACGACAAGGATTTCTTTTGTTTGGTTTACTCTTGTATCCCAAATACCAAGAAGTTCTTGACTTATACTAGGTATTTAAGTATTTGAATGAGTATGGGGAATTTAATTGTGTGTTGTTATAAAACGACACTAACACAGATCTTAGATACTGTATTAATACATTCAGATGTAATTTATGTTAGCATTTTGTCCTATATTAGTGTGGAATCTTTCTTGTTGGGTTAGGAAAACACAGTTGGTGATTATATGTCTCTCACCTCCTGAAATTTATGAGTCATAACAATTATTTATAAATGTCATGTTTTCCATTTGCATCACAGTGTAATTATGTACTTTTTATTTTTGATAATTTGAGAATAGGAGCTACACAAAATTATAAGAAGTCATGTGGTCAGTGCTATGCCTCCAGGGAGTCGTGTGGGTAGTGCTCAACTCAGTTTTATTTCCGGAGTTTTTCAAGTTAGTTGTTTGAAACATCAGACAGTTCCAATTATTGTTTGTAGGTTTTACTGTGTTGCACGAAAAGCTTAGTTAGGTTATTTCACTGCTTAATTGATAGAAAACTGGTAAAAATATCATTCCTTCATGCTTGCATGCGCCTGCCTTACCCTGTGCAGTCACCACAAGGCAGCATGGAGCATTCTTTTTTTTTTTTTAATAATGCAGAGATGAGTTGAGCAGTTCTTGCTCACAACACATGGGCAGACATTATAAAATATACTTAGATTGAGGCCTCTGCTAGACAGTTGGGTGTTTGAGTCTAAATTTGAGGGATTTATGTACTTTCATTGCAGGCTCCTATGTTTACCAGTGTTAGTTAATAGCCTGTGAACAAGTAATAACCTAGCAGAGAAATGTGCTGAGGGCAGTACTGTGGGCATTTCAGCTGAAGAGTTTTCCATGACAGAGTCACAGCATTACAGAGACTGGAGGAGACCTGCAAGAGGCATTGTCATGGAAATGGAAGAGGGGATTGAGCAGCACAGCCAAGTATGTCTGTTCTTTTTGTGAGGACTGTAGAGTGAAATGGTATGACAGCAGATGGCCAATTTTTATTGGAAAGAGTGGTTTCAGGGCCCGTAGAGCTGTGCAGCAAAGCAAGAGAGAGATGAGGCATATAGTCTGTTCCCCTGAGAAACTGGAATGAAAGACAAGAGACACCCCCCCCCCCC